GGATGCTGAGGCCATATGCATGCCCCATCTCACCTACCTGTTTCAGATGTGATTGTATAAAAATTACAGCATTTGCCTGGCCTTGTTTCTACCAAGGACTCTTGCATGCTTGGAGTTAGCATGCTACTTGATTCCCGGGAGGCTTTTCTCTCAAACAGGCTTCATTCTAGAAGCTAGGAAGCATTCTTGACCCTTCCCAGGAAAATCTTTGTATTTTTTGATGTAATGATTCACCAAGAGAAATGGAGTATATCTGTGCACCTCAGCATTAGGATGTGCAGCTCAGATTCCCATCTGGTCTTCCAGGGCTGCTTCTGTCTTCTTATCCAACAAATATGTACATGGTCCTTTAAATGGATAAAATACAGAGGCAGTGCTGGAAGCAGAGACCAGTCTGCAGAAACACCTTTCCCAAGAAACAGATTTCTTAGTTATTGGATAGGAGGTGTGCCATTAAATCCCCGGCTTCCCAGCTGTCTCCTGAGCTGCCTGTGGAGTTGTCCTTGTAGGATTAGGCAGTAACTGATTGAGACTTTTTCAGCACTTTGGATTCAGCTGCATCATTTCATCAAAATCCCTTTTACACAGCAGAGAGCAAAAGACAAAAAGTTGGGTTTGTGTTACATCATATTAAAATATATTGACTTCATAGGGGAAAAGCTTCCTTGAAACTCCAACAAATGCTTTTGGTCATGCACAAGGAAGTCCTTTGGACAAAACCATAAGGCACTTAGGTGGCCTGCAGTTCTGTGGAATCGGCTGGGTACTTTGCAGATCACCCAGGACTGCCTTAGTCCTTTCTGCTGCTGTCTCATGTGTTGGAGCCAAGCTCTCTTATACTCCCCACTGCATTCCAGAAGCACAGAGAATGGGAGGTCAGTTCCTTAATGCTGATAAGGATTCTCCTATGGTGCAAGGCAGTTTAAGAGATGATCTCATCTTTTTTCATCATCTGGGGATGATGATGAGAAAGGGAAAGCAAGAAAAAAAGTCTTTGAGTAATTTGAAGTCCATTTTCACTGTACTTTATCTTGCATCCTCTTACTTGTGCCAAGCAGGACAGAGATGAGATGAGTTTATTTTCCATCTGCCTGATTTTGGCAGTATCTTCTTGGAGTCTACCACTTAAAGCTGGAGAGATGCTGAAGAAACAGTAATGCAAAAGCAGTGGCTGTCTGTCCTTGCCCCATATATAGCTTTGGTATCTGGGTTACTCTGTTTTGTCTGGTACATATCTGTGATATCCTGTCTATTTATAGCCAGCTCTGTTTCCTGTCCACAGTCACCAGCACCATTGCATCTCCTGGTCTGGGCAGTGGTCTGGAAGCACAGATGTACACACAGGCCAGAAGTTGTCAACATCTGTTTTTTAACTGGGACAACTGGGATAAAGGTTTAGTGTGGATGAGCTTCCTTGACCAGCAAGAACTGGAGATGGGGAGAAGGATGTTCCCTCATGCTGCAGCTTTGAGTAGGAGGAGCTGCAGGTCTTTTTCTTGGTCAGTCTCAGCTCCAAAAACCAGAGTGGAGAGAGTTCTTCCCATCTCCAGCCCTGAGAAAGGGGATTTTCATGGTCCCAAGTTCCGTGCCAGCAAGCTGGCTGGCAGTCCCAGGAGAGAAGCTGTGCACCAGGCTGGCTTGGTCCCCAGAACAAAAACTGTCATCTCGTTTCTCAGGGACTTAGTGGCTTCAGCACAAGCAGTGAGACCTCAGCCTCTAAATCTCTGCAGTGTGTGGCCCTGACACTTTGCAGCATAGACCTTGTCCACAGCTGGACACAGTGTTCCACTTGGTGCTTTTGCTGAAGGTGACAGCACCAAAAACCACCTTCTTCAGGGAAATCCTCAACACCGTCTGGTGGTGTCCCAAGCCCCACTTCTTCCCATTTTTAACAGTGCAGTCCTTATTTCGCTAAGCTGAAGCATATGCCTAACAAAAGTGCATACACCTCTTCCTTGGATCCACCTAAAGCAAGAAGAGCTTCACATATTTTTTTTAAAAAAGAAATCTCAGTATCCTGAAAGTACCTTTCAAATGCAACTGCAGGATCTGCGTAATTGAAACTTTTGCCCTAATCTGGTTAGCATCCTCAGGCAGTTCCTGACAAATGTAAATTATAAGTGAGGGTTTGTAGTAAACATAACTAAAAAAAAGGCATCTTCAGTGTTTTTGCAATGTGTTGAAAGCAGTTTGGGTGCTGAGCACAGAGAACTCATTTTCATTTCACCTGAAATGCCATTATGTTTCTTAAATTGGGAGTGGCATTAATCCTAGAACATAATCAAATCTTTTTGTGATTTTGCATTTGTCATAACTGAAAGATCTCATTAAATAGTTCTCTATACCTCTAAATAACACTGCCTGTCATGTAATATTTCTCTCAGATTTTCTTCAGTGACATTGTATCAGAGCTGAAAATGAGCTATCACAGAAAATAAAATGGGACTAAAATAAAATGGGACTAAAATAACAGTCCTTTGTATTAAATTTAACATTTGGCTTCTGTCCCAGAGTTTTCCACATCCATATTAGAATCAGATGGTAGCCTAAGATGAAAAGATTTCCTGGATGGGTTTTATTCTGATTCTTATTAAAGGACTGATAACTGACTGAAGGCAAGATACTTGTTGTAGTAAAAAAGCCTGCCTAATATCAAAGGCTGGATGGACACAGTGACCTGTATTATTGTTAGGCCTCCCTACTTGATCACATTTCAGTATCATAAAATTATTCTGCTAGTGAACGTGAAGTATAAAAATTCCAGCATCAGAGCGAAAATCCCAGGCTGGCGGGTATTGCTGCTGTGGGCACACTGCTTCATGCTTTGTCACTGACCCAAAGCCAAGTCAAGGGTTTAATATCAAAAAGCAGTGTTGGTGACAGCACAGTGTAGCTATATTTATTTTTATTCTCAGTTATTTGCATTCATGAAAGGCACTCCCTTGTCCTGACTTACCTGTGGAACTGGTATCGCGTGTGATGTGACAGCATAGGGCATCCCCACTGGTATTGCTCAGCCTTCTTCAGAAACTGTGTATCCTCTGCCCTATCCCCAAACCAGCACTTGCCCCAGGTTCCTTTGGCAATCTGTAGACAGAAAGATCAAAGGGACCTAAATGCTCTTCAGAAAGCAATCTTCCCTTTATTCAAAGCAGCTTTGTATAGTACTTATGTATTAGTGGGTTTAAATGGTACAAATATTTTCAGGCTCTGGGTGTTCTATGCAAAAACGATTGCTTTTGATAAAATGTAGGAGTGGTGCTTTGTAATGTTGCTGTTCTGCTGTAGTGGAGACTGCAAGCATGATATTGGAGCTACAAATTAGATTTTGGAAAAAAACACTTCTGTAAGGAGTCTGCTGCTTCAGACCAACAGGCTATAATCAGCATTTTCATGGGGATATTTTGCCTGTGTTTTGTCGCAGTGTCTTCAGCAACAGAAGGAGAGCAGCAATTGCAGGCTGCACTGGCCATTTCAGTTTGTGATCTCATGGGGTATTGAAGATTAAATATGCATTATAGGTATTTTATGCTGTTTTTCTACGTGCACCTTTTTAAAACAACTGGTATGTGGTTTGAGTTTATAGCCAGAGAATCATTTCATCAGCACTGGGTGTTTACAGCACTAATGTCAACATCTGAGCTTACACCCAGTGCTCCTTTTACAATCCATGGAGAGAAATGTATATGTTTACAGGAGTAATTTATCTGATTATTTTAGACATCTTCTTTCCAGTGAAAGAGACTGTATTCTAGAAGAGCCAATTTCTCTTCTTAGCAATAATTAATCCTAGCATATTTAGTTTAGGAGGTGTTAACTGTAGTTGGGTGACATGGATCCCAAATAGCGTGTTTCTGAATAGAACTTGACTGCTAACTCTGTCCATATGAATGCTTTTTTTTTCCTTTTATAAATTATCAGATTATCATAGAGAACACACACAGATATCTGTTGTGTATGTAAGAAATGATTGGTTCAACCCCTACAAGATTTTTACCACTGACAGTTACAGCTACCTTAATGCTTGCTGGGAAAGCAGTTTTGGTAGTTGTATTGATCCTATCCTCCTCAGGTACCAGTTGGATGCTAAACATCCTTTCGGATGAAGAGTGTGTTCTGTTGAGTACTTGGACAATTCTAAGGGATTTAACACTGAGCCAAAATCTCTAAGAGAAAATGGGACCTTCTTGCACTCTCCTGAAAGCAGCTTCAAGGAGGTCAGGTGAATGGGGCTGTAGCACATATATGCCTATTTTCGGGAGTGTTACAACAGGTGGCATGAGGGATAAGCAAGCATAATGTGTACTGGTGAACAGTGTTGATGTCCTCTTCATTTGGGTTCACCTGGTAGATTCATTCAAATAGAAGAAAAACCCCAAAGCTTCTCTACTCAAGATGAGTTTACCATATATGACAAGGTACAAAGGGTAAGTAGCATCTTAGGAGACAGAAGAATTTCCTGTGAACAGCTCTCAGCAAAAAAAAAGAAAAGTAGAGTAATACCTACTAACTAAAGAATCGAAGTTATTTCTGAAGTGTATAAACAGTGTCACAGAATAGGGGTAATAAGGTGTTATTGATCCCATATTTGTAATTTGTCACTATATCCTACTGGTGCAAGCAGATTGATTTTCAGAGGGTGATGGCTGCTGGAAAGATGTTCCTTGAAAACCTTTCTTGTTCACTGCCCCAAAATCTATAATTGCTTTTGGAAGTCTTTGCTTTGGTGTACAGTTCTGATATCTGGATTACTGACGTCCAAAACCTCAAGTCTTCCTTGTATGTCCACTGAGCATTAGGTTTTCTCTGACTAATCTTCTGGTTGATTATGTAATTCATTTTTCTACATGAACATATGTTCTGTTTAATTAATTAATTCTTTCACCTCGACTTTGCTTATGCTTATTCCTTCCTTTGTCAAGGTCTCACATTAATATTTGCAGCATTACCTAGTGACACATATATGCATTTTCTTTCTCTTATTTTTTTTCCTCTTACAGATTTAACTGTAATTGCACCAGGCCTTTTGAAGACTTTACCAACAGATCAGCAGCTGAACAAGCTTGCGAGGAGGCTGGGACCCGAATGGGAGCATGTGGTTCTGTGCTTGGGTTTGTCCCATACTGACATCTATCGATGTAAAGTCAATCACCCTCTCAACCTGCAGTCACAGATCGTAGCTGCATTTGTCCTGTGGAGGCAGCGTTTGGGGAAAAAAGCAACGATTCAAAGTCTGCAAGACAGTCTGATAGCAGCAGAAGTGGATCCTTCTGTGATACAGTACATGCTTGAGGGAAGCCATGCTATTGATTGAGAGCTTCCACGTACTTTGTTAAATTAAATATAGAGAATGGAAATGTGTGTTGAAAATTGGATGCCTCAAACTGGAAAAAAAATGGTGTTGGGGAGCTGTGATTTTATTAAGCTTAAACATTCCAGTTTTCTCTGGCGCCTTGTGACTTGTAATTCTTTTCATGCCAGATTAATTTTTAGCAGGCATTAAAAAATGGATCACTGTTTCCTGTTCACTTTTGTGCTATTTCAGTGGGGATATAGGGTGACGAAGTTCTTGCAAGCAGGCAGCCCTGCAGTGAGTTCAGTAAGGTTTCTGATTTCACTGAGGGAACAACGCTTGGTTTAACCTCTTATCTGGACTATGTAGGAGCCTTTTTTACTGCTGTTTGGTGCTATTTCCCTGATATCCCAGCAAGAAATGAAAGTCATCACTAATTTAACAATTTTACAACAGTTATTGCAGGTGGCTAATTTCACATTTATAAAATTTTCAGCACATACAGTTTCTTGCTAGGATAGATGGCTGCCACCTTAGTCTGCCTTTGAAAATGGCCTTAAGTGGAAGTAACAGAAACCTAGCTGGCCTGTGAGAGTTTCTCCTGTTATTATTTAGTTGGGGTAGTTTTCTGAGAAGAGGCAGGCACTGGGTGCAGATGCCATGTCACAGGTGAGGAGTTCTCAGGGAAGACACACAGTAGAAAAGTGACCAGAAGATAGGCAAAGCCAGGCAAACAGAGCAAGAAGCGGCCTGAGAAAGGAGACAGCTTCTAAGTTGTCCATGTTTGTCTCCACTAATAAACTGGGAGAGAGTCTGGTGCCTGTTGAGTTTTTGGGCTGTGCTCTGGATCCAGGCAATTTTGTTTCACGTTTAAGTAAAGCATCCATAGGCACATTGCTCTTCCCACTGCATGCCCAATAGAGTAGTGAAACTTGCAGGTCCTTTCTGGTCAAGATGAACTTTCCACTGTTCTCCCTCCAGCTTATACCATCCAGCAGGCTTGTTTGCTTTCTACCAGCTTTTCTGTGCCTAGTGGGGGAAGCTTTGGTACTGCTGTCCCCAGTTTTTTACCAGCTATAATTGTACCAGCAGTGAGGATAAAATTTTGTGCAGAAGAACAATAAAGTTTGGGCTCTTCTTCTCCCCTTCTGTCTAGCAGATTTTACTCCTGTTGGAAAAAAACACTGAGGTTTTTGCTGACCAGGTAAGTAGGGATCAATCCACAGGGTATGTATCCAAAGGCAGTGGAAGTGACCAGCTGCTCTCTGAGGCCTAATGACAAGAGGCAGAATACGTTTTAATTTTCCCTGAGCAGTTTGCTGTGCAATAAATGCAAAACAAAGTTTCAATGCAGGTTTTCCAGGTCTATTTATGAACAAGCTACTGTAGAGTAGGTTTTCATCTACAAAGTCATTGCCAAAGAACTTCCCATCCCAAAAAATTTGTTCTGTTTTATTTAGCAGCTTAACAGCCTTGTCTGAAGTCTTTATTGGAGTAAGAATGAACTTTTACTGCTTTTTAAATTTTTTATTTGTTATTACTATACCCAGATTTTCAAAGACATGGGAAATTAGGAAAGACAAAGAGATTTTAAAGAAATTTTACATGCCTTGGTTTTCAGAAGCATGGAAACAAAAAACATATCCTGGCAGGATCTGCTCCTGCAGGTTCTGAAGTAATCAGGTAATATTTTGGTTTTAATCTTCAGTATACAGTTCTGACCTTCAGTAAATTGTGATCCTGTCATACCTCACTCAGATCTTAGTTAATCACATTCAGATCTTAGCTATTCATATTCTACTTCCAGAGTTTAACTCTATCAACAAATTCCAGATAAACAATGTAAATCAATTTAGGGTTTGGTATTTATTTTTCTGTCTCAGGATGCTTTAATGCCAGCATGTTCTTTTTAAGTTGAAAACCATCCTAGAGCAGGTGTACAGACATTTGTCAAATTCATATGAACACAGCCCAGCATAGGGAGTGGGATGAGGACTACAAAGCAATTCTGACAGCAACATTGACAGGAGCATGGTTTGTGTGTTAGGGAAGAGAGGCAAAGCAGTCTTGGAGGAAAAAAAGATAGAGATGAGGGACAAGAGAAACTACTGAAAAGGCGATTTAGAGGAAGAAGTTGGCTCCCAGTGTCATAAATGCAAGTACCTTATCTTGTTCTGAGACAGCATGGACCAAGTCTCAACACAGACTGTCTCCACAGGAGTTCACCCCCAGTTAACCCAGCATGAGCACAGTATTCTGAGAAGATGACCAGTCTGACAATAAAGCAGTATAATAGGCACAGTCAGGGACCCTGGTATCTTCTTCTTTGGGTGAACTTTGCATTTCATATTCTTCATTTTATGGAATCACAGAATGGTTTGGGTTGAAAGGGATCTTAAAGATCATCTAGTTCCAATGGGGGATGCCATGAGCAGGGACACCTTTCACTAGACCAGGTTGTTCGGAGCCCCATCCAACCTGGCCTTGAACACTTCTAGGGATGGGACATCCACAACATCTCTCATCCACAACATCCACATCGTCTTTGGCAGGCTGTTCCAGGGCCTCACCATCCTCACAATAAAGAATTTCTTCCTTATATCTAATCTAAACCTACTCTCTTTCAGTTTGAAGCCATTCCCCCTTGTCCTATCATTACATGCCCTTGTAGAAAGTCTCTCTCCAGCTCTCTTGTAGGCCCCCTTTAAGTACTGCAAGGTGCTATAAGGTCTCCCCATAGCCGCCTCTTCTCCAGGCTGAAGAGGCACAACTCTCTCAGCCTTTCTTCATAGGAGAGGTGCTCCACCCCTCTAATCATCTCAGTGGCCCTTCTCTGGTCTTGCTCCAACACTTCTATGTCCTTCCTGTGTGAGGACCCCAGAGATGGATGCAGCACTCCAGGTGGGGTCTTACGAGAATGGAGAAGAGGTAGAGAATCACCTCCCTTGACCTGCTGGCCACACTGCTTTTGATGCAGCCCAGGATACAGTTGGCCGGTGTTAGGCTATCCATAAGTAATATATTTAGAGTCTTTTTAATGGCTGAGAAAACAACCTTCAGTAGGTATGAAGTTTCATGCCAAATAAGCCTTCCTTCCAAGCCAGGTATCCTTCTGAGTATCTACTATGGGCCACTGGAAACCTGATGGGTGAGTGTCTTATCAGGTAATTTCTCCACCTTCTTTAGGTGGGATAAATGCTACATCCCTTGCACCTGGTACTGAAATTATGGAAGCCACAGATAGACAAGGAATATCAAACCTGGCCTCTTGTATTGTAGAACAAAGCACATCATTCATAATTTATAGTTGCTTTCACATTCCCAGGCCCTAAATACTTGAGTTGCAAATATTGAAAGGAGAGGTTTACTTATTTTATGAGATTGTTTCCACTGCTGTTATTTTTAAATTCATGGAAATGTTCCTATTAGACTCTTCATTTCTATTAAAGCTTGTTTTTGCACTACACAAATGCAGGAATACATATAACTGACAGTAGTATTCCTTTAACCCAGGGGATTTTTCCATCCACTTAAAAATATTTTTCGTCTGGATGTAATGCTTTATTTTACACAAGGATGCAATTAAGACCATTTAATTCTTTAGATGTATAGCAAGGCCTCTTATTCTCTCTTAGAATAGTCAAAAGATCTTAAAATGTTTATTCTTTTCTGCTAATTTGGGAGCAAATGTTATTTATTTAAACCTCACTTATAGAGAAGCCTGTGACTTGAGTGTTGTTCAGGAGTGAGACAACTCAGTGACTGAGTTTCCCCATCTCTCCCTTTGCCTTGTACTTCTTTGTGCCAGCAGTCTGGGCAATGACATGGGGCTTCCACAGGGTCTCCTGTCCTCCCTGCCTGCTGTGCTCTCAGGACTGGTGTCTGGGACAGGCTGACAGCAAGGGGCAGCCCCCAGCAAGGACTCATCCCAGTTCCACTGCTCATCCCTTGCAGTGAGGTGCATGGCCACTTCAGGCTTTGGGGTAGAACAGGGGCTTGGGAAAGGTTAGCCAGCAGCAACTTCTTTATGATGTATTTAGGCTTCTTAACCAATGCTGAAAAATTCTGTCTTGTGAAAGTGGTATTATTGGTATCTACTTATTTTTGGCAGTGTTTAGGAGCTCTGAGAGAAGAAAGCACAAAGGTGGGCACTGCTGGACCTTCCACTGCAACTCATGGCTTAACTTCTAGTCCTTGGAAGTAGTCATCATTGATTTTCTTCCTTGGTCTCTAAAGGAGACTCTGACATCCCATTTAACTCTCCTAAGTGGTAAATAAGCTTTATAAAAGCTGTTTTGTACTCTGCAAGTACAGGTGGACTCTTAGCATGGCAATAGGCAAGGTCTAAGAGCTCTGCTTCTCACCTGTGTAAACTGTGTAAACTGTATGGATGATCACAAAGGAAGGATCTTCTCAGGGCAAAACCATGTCAAGGAGGCATTACGCTGTGTTTAAGAGTGGCTGGATTACAGAGAAAATGCAGTCATCTGTGAGCCACTTCTCCCAGATATTGCAGAGGAAATTTCCGTCTGAAGTCATATTTTATGACAGTCATTGATCTGTGGAATAAAACATTTTGCAAAAGGCTGGAAAAATAAACAGAGTCATATTATCTTCGAAGAAAATAGAAGGCATCGCATGCTAAATGTGGTCATGCTGCCAATTTTTTTTTATTACTGGAAATGAAAACAGTCTCTGAGAGCTAATCTGTTTATAAACTTATATTCTCTGTAGATATAGGCCAATATCAAGGCATAGCAGAAGTAAAGCTGAAAGGGCAGTTCCTAAAACCTATGTCTATCTACAGTGAATATTCAAAGGCTTTGTCCAAATTTCACTAAATTAAAAGAATTTTCACCTTGAAGGTGTCTTGCTATCACCTAAAGTCTAAAGTTCTAAGAAGAAAACCAATGATTTGGCCCTTTTTCCCTGAATACAGTTTCTTTTTTAACTGATTACTTGAAAAAAATTAACATTTACCAGAAAAAAAATAAACATATTAAAAAATTAGTATGTGTTTTAGGAGAATTCACTTCTGGACCTAGCATTTGAATTGTGAAAAAAGATGAATTGCAATTTCCCTTTGAAGCAGTTTGGTAGAGCTGATGATAGCATAGGAAGATTCCTGTCTCTCCTTCAGCAGTGACTGCATTAAAAAACATCTGCACATGTTATAGATACCATTTCTGATACTGATGTCTGGTCCAAACCCCAACAGCAGAGA